TTGATTTGACGGAATAAATTCATTTTGGGTTGAAAATGGCTACCAAACGCAACCTTAGTGTAATGAAGTAATGACCCGTACAATATTTCTGAAAAAACAATAAAATATCACTTCTTATTAGAAACTTAATAACAAGCATAGAAAATAAGCACTCAACTTTCTCGATTACTTAACTTTAACTTTTCCTTATTTCAATTCATACTAGATAATATTCGACAAGTCCAAGTCCAAACCGCCACATCATTATTTTTGCATCTCAACCGTCCATTTCAAGTCAAGGCTTCCCGAGATGATGACTCTCGATATCCTTAGTGAGATCAATGAAGAAGGCAAGCAGTGTAATTGGATGTGGAACATCCTCGTTAAGCATCTCGTAGTCTAGAGTCCACGTTACCAAGTCGATGTTCCCTTTGTTTTCAATATGAATTTTTATGATAAAATTCTTGTAGATCTCCATCAAATCTCCTTCAAGCATCTTGAATGTTATTGACTTTTTCTCCTCATCTATGGCTTCAACCACTTGCTTTGCAACCCTTTGTTTCCCATCTGTTCTTCCCACAAAAATAATAAAAGGATATCAGAATTCTTGAGTTCGCTTAAAATTAAGTTATTAAATAAATAATGGGTTTTTTTAAGAAACAAAGAATAATATGGTTTTTTAAGGTTTTCTTGATGGTTCATAGTTATAAAAATCATGGTCACCTTCTATGAGATCTGTTTTGAGAACGATTGTTAGACATTGTGGAAAAAAGTACAAGAAGAGACGGCTGACTTAAATAAATTTGTTGACAAAATTTGTGTGGCAAATTTAAAAACTGTTTTTGAAATAATTGGCCTGGATCTTGCTGACGCATATTTTGCAAGCCAATTTTGTCAGTCTATTTTGTACAAATAGCATGACTCGTTTTAAGATAACTAGAGCCCGAGTATTTAGTTGACTCTTATAACCTCAATAGTAACTTTCCATAACTTGTGGAATAAGATCAATTCATACAGAATAAAAGGATCTCTACTTTGATTGATCTCGTATCCTTCGCTCAATGAGAAAATGGGGAGCTGTCACGGAAGCCGGTGGTCGATCGTGAAGTGAGAAGATGGAAATTATTACAAAGAAAAGAAGAAAAGAAAGCAAAAGGTGTGTCTACCATGAGTGTACTTCCAGCAGATGATGGAGCCTTCTTTTCCAAATTGTCCTTGGTGCAAATCACAGCCATGAACCTTCTCAGGAGCGGTGGTGGAGACATGGTGCGGTCTGTGAGTGAATAATTCATGAAATACATCTCCCCCAGCTTTGAACTCTATTTGGGCTACCAATTTTCCAAGTAATCCCATTATCGTAATATCTCTGGACCTCCTTAGATTGAATTTAACCCAATGCAGATGCACACATAACTATGTATTTTCACCCTATTATATAGTTGAATCGTAGCACATGGTTAGACCAACTTGTATTATTTTA